CACAGTGTTACTCAAAGCTACTACGAGTAGCTCGTGAAACAGACCTGCTCTCGACAGCTCGCAAATGAAGCAAAAAACAGCAAGCTGCTTACTATAGACCTTAAGCGAATTATTGGCTTCACTGTTGCAATCTGTTAAATGTTATGTTTTCGCAAAGAGCAAATCTTACATATGTGCACATAGATCAAGCAAATTACATTTTGTATAAAAATAAATAATAAAGCTAAAATTAAAAATTAATATGAGCAATGAACTAAAAGCAATGTTCAGAATGTTGGTTTTACAACAAAATTAATAATAGTTTAGAATATTTATGCTTGAATAAGAATTAGCTTGTTAGCAACAAATAGTTAAAAATTTTAAACCACTTCTCAATTATACTTTTCTCATACATTCCTAAAAATTTTTGAATATATTTATATGTATATAATTAAAATATTTATTTCCCATAATTTTGCATATTTTTAAAATATATCATTTCCACACTTTTCAAATTTTTGAAATTTTTTAATTTAGCTTGAATTTTTGTTTACAAACTTTTGAGATATAAGTGAAATATTCATTGAATTTTCCAACGAAGGTTCACAATAATTCGTTTATTGCGTAAGTAATTATATTTTCTGTATATGCTTAAATGTTTGGCAACTTCACAATTATGTGCTAAGCGAACTACTTGCTGTTTTTTGACTAAAAGCTGCCGAAAGCATCTATTGTTAATGATAACATAATTTTTAAGTTTCTGAATAAACAAATTTATAAAAATATTTACAAAGAGGTTTTTCGAACAGTAGTGAACTACAAGAACAAAAATTTTATTTTTTATATTATTTATATCGAGTATTGCCAAATACCCATCATCAGTGGTCTTGGAAATAATTCTTGCATTTAATTATTAGTAAATAATTATTTTTACACATTTTGCATACTATACTATATCATATACTATGTTTACATTAATTTATACAACCTCATTAGCATATTTTTTTATAAAAAATAACATTTGAGACAAATATATCGAAGTAATCATGTAAACATACTGATGTGCGGGTTTTTTTTTCTAAGGGTAATGTTATGTCGAGTGTCTCGAGCACGGTATGAGTAAAATTGTTTCTGTTTTATAGCAAATTATAAAATTGAGAGGGAGAGAAAAAATAATACGTTGTTTCAAATTTCAGCATGAGAACCAGGCTATTTCTACCTTGGCACTTGTGCCAAGCAATGTTGTCCAGTAATAAATACCAGAATTTTGCCGTGCCCAAGACAATCTACATAATATATCCCTAACTCTGCGTCCATATTTACTACAGTTCGGAAAGACTTTCACTTTTTCGTTAACATTGAAAAATTTTTGTTCACAGACAATATTCGGAAATAATATGTATTTGCATTCAATAGAAAATTCTTTCCAAAGTCTATCAAATCTTAATGCCCAGTAAAAACAAAAACATAGAATTATTCTTGTTTCTATATTTTTGAACCAACTCTGCAAATGTAGCTTATCTATATCATAAACAAAAACATAGAATTATTCTTGTTTCTATATTTTTGAACCAACTCTGCAAATGTAGCTTATCTATATCATTAAGGTTTCTTGCAGGTGCTGTCACTCCGGGCGACATGTCAATTTGTCATTTCGTGTTAGTTGTCAAGCGGCTTGTGAATTTATAAAATATAAACTTAAATAATTCTGCGGCCTGCGTGTTATTTTGAGGCATACTAATAAAAAAGGTTTTGCGAAAAAGTTGCAAATTAAAATATGGCTGATGTTTTAGATATTGATAACGCTGAAGAGTTTGAGGTAGACGAGGATGGCGATCGTGAGTGTTCATATGATTTAAAAATTTGTGTTAAAATTCATTAAATTAACAAGAATATATATTTTGTAGAAGGTATTGTGCGTTTAAAGGAAAAAGCAAAGTCGCGCAAAGGTCGTGGTTTTGGAAATGAAAGCAATGTTCGCGAAACCATTCACAGTTATGACCGCGTGCGCCATGAAGATGATGACGAACTGGAACCGGGACCACAACGATCTGTTGAGGGTTGGATTCTATTTGTAACGTCAATACACGAAGAAGCACAAGAAGATGAAATTCAAGAAAAATTCTGTGAATTTGGTGATATTAAAAATATACATTTAAATTTAGATCGCCGCACTGGTTTTTCCAAAGGATATGCTTTAGTAGAGTATGAGACACATAAGCAGGCTTTGGCAGCAAAGGAAGCACTTAATGCCACAGAAATAATGGGTCAACGAATTCAAGTTGATTGGTGTTTTGTAAAAGGACCTAAAAGGTCGAGAAAATCAAGCGAAAAACGCAGAAAATAATCATAAATGCTCATTTTGTACATAATTATGTGGTATACGTATGAATATAATTGGTTTGTAAAAAACTTAAATTTAGTTATTTATTATGTATTATATATATATACATATATGCAACAAAACAATTATAAAAAATTGTGTTACCACAAATATTTTTCCTTTTAAACCATTAATCTATATTATATGTACGAACATTTTATAAATGAATAAACAAAAATTATTAGGAAAAAACTATTTTTATTTACATATAAAAAAAACTAAATATTTATATTTATTTCATTTTCTTTTGTTGTAATAAATGTTTTCGTAATGCCTGTTGTTTGTCTCGGAAACTTTTCTTCACTTTTGAACGAGCCTTATGTCGCATCATTACAAAGTTTTTGTTCTTTCGTTTCTCTCGATTTGTTTTTGAACAATTTTCATTTTTACGTCCATCTTTCCAACCAAATTTCTCTCTGTCCTCACGTCCTGCTTTGACCGTCTCTAATCTGGACTCCTTGTCATGCTTACGTTTCTTATATATCATTTCAATGTTATCTAGCTTAACAAATTCGGACCGGTCTTTTTCAAGTGGCCGTTTGCGTGCATTAGTAACAGTTTTTTTCAAATTTGCTGCATTTATTTTTTTAAAGTCTTCGTCTGTAAAAATGCGAGTTAAAGCTAACTCTTGCGCGGCCTCCTTTTCATTTAAGATTTTAATATTTTCAGATATTTCATTGGATTCATCTTTTTCTTGTTTAATAGTAGTTTTTAAATTTAAAGAATTATCTGTTTTGTTTACATCTTCTTCATCTGAATCATCTTCATCATTGTCAGAGACATCATTATCACTATCTTCTTCTTCCTGGTCATCATCAGTTTCTTCATCTTGTTCGGAATCTTGAACGCCTTCATCTTCACTTTGCGACACATCTACCCATTGTCCATCATTTGAGTCTGTATCCGAGTCATTATCGTCACCCATGTCAATTACTTTGGATGCTTTAAGCAAAACTTCTGCACCTGGTATAGATTCGTGTACTTCAATTTCACCATAAGCACGAGGTTTTCGTTCCGCTTGTGCTTCGGTTAAGCGTCCGCGATCTCTTTTATGTAATAAAGCGGGCAATTGTTCTCTATAAAGCATTATAAGTGAACGTGCCGCCATCATAACTGATTTCTCTTTATAAGTCTTGTACATAGCTAAATCCCTTAATAAATCCTCACCCATTGCCAGTGGACAACGTAAACAAATTTCTCGCGTAGCATTTAAACCAATAGCCATAACATCACTTGAGTTTCGTTCTGTTATAAAATTGTTGGCAATTGTTTTCAATATAGGTTCTATGATATCACCAGGTACCAGTTCGTGTGAAGCTTGTGCAGCAAACTGTAGAACACGCGTTACTTGGCGTTGATGTGGTTGCATGAAACGCGTTATATAGGGATAGAAACTGAACAAAAATAAATTATGTATGCCGATTAGACGCGAAATAACGTCTAAATGCATAAGTTTTACTTCAAAACGTTCATTACCAGCCTGTAATTGTTTAAATAAACCTTCGGCCATACCTTGTGGATTATGTATGAGATGTATGCCTGAAAAATTAAATGCTGGTGCATTTTTCTTCTTTTTTTGTGCCTTTATTGCTTGTTTTTTAATAACTTCTAATTGCTTTTGGCGTTTCTTTGTTTTTTTGTTAACACGATTTTGCATAATGGCAGTTTTCAGATCGATTTCATTATCACTACCAGATTCATCTGAATTCTTATCGTCATCATCATGGCCCAAGAAAAATTTTAATGAAGTGACAAGTACCTGAAATTTATAAATTTTTGAATATTATTATTCTCTCAATTTCTACCTTTAAATAAATACTTTAGTTATTTTTGAAAAGCAGCCAACAGTAGCAATAACATTAACTGTTTTCGCATCATTCCATATATTTTTTTTGTACAGATCAATCATTATATTCACAGACATCTTGGCCGCTTTAGGATTAGTATCTTTCAGCATTGTATACATAAAGTTTTGTAAATTCTAAGATATAATATTATTACTAAATATATAATATGGTAAATTTTATTACTATTACCGAATTCAATTTCATATCTCTATGTTTAGAATTCATGTTTTTTATGTCAGTTATTATATGAGTTTGTAGATAGCTTCGTAAATGTTTATCTGGACACCGAAGCAGTTGAAAAAATAGTGATAATAAATCCAATGCTGATATTAAGTTTTTGTTACGCATTAACACTAACGCCTTTACAAAGCAATTTCGCATAGTTGGATCCAATGTGGTAGCATGATTTTTTAGCATATCAACTAAAAGTTGGGGGTATTTGAGACATATTTCCGGGTAGCATTTAGCACACTAAAAATAGATTGTTAATAAACCTTATTGTATATTAACACACAAATAGTTTACCTGTGCTATAAACATGACAAGTTCATCAAGTGATTTGTCCTCCTCACATGGATTCAAAGCAAATACTTCAAGACTTGCCTCAAAATGACGATACTGCTGTTGAAAGTCACTTTTATAAGATTCTGGATCACGTTTAATAAGATTTTGTAGCTGAGGCAAATTATGCGGCAGTTGATTATTATGACGCACCATTTTGCAAACTTTTTAACGATAATATACGATAAAAAATTTACAAAAATCCCAGTAAAATTCTTATAGAATTTACCAGTTGAAGTATTGCGTATGGAAAGAAATCACGTTGTTTTTTTTTAGATTTGACATTTACACTCTTCATAGCAGAAAATTGATATTTAAAAACAGAGATGCCACACATTTTCATATCAAAACTTAGTCAAAATGTTAGATTTGTTCGAGTACTTACTTTCAGAAAAGAAAAATTTGTAGAACGTTACTTGAATTTTTGAGTCCTTCTACAGTAACACAATGGGCCGATATTCCTAAGGAGATTCTTAGGATTAACGGTATAATCTATTCTAACTTACTTGAAATTTTGTGTACTTATTTGAAGATGTGTCAAAGATGTCATATATAAATAAATAACATTTTTTGCATTTTCTACATTTTCCATAATCAGTTAATTAATTTCTACATATAAAGAACTAAATATTATTTGCTAGTAATTAAAATGTAAACAAAAAAAAAGCTCTCCTAGAATTTTCACAGAACTTTCTGACTTATAAAAGCTTTTTCACATGCATTAAACAACTTATGCCAAAGGAAACGACAAACTCTTAATTTGATTAATATAAATTGATTTGATTGCAGCGGGAACAAAGCATTAGAAACTATAGAAAAAATGTTATTAAAGTGTTAAGCGATCTATTTTAATTAGAAATTTCAACGAATATTCCAGTCAAAGTTGTTTATAGACTAAAATTCGAATAAAATTAAAAAGGTGTTACAAATTTAAAAATGGTGAAAATAAAATATTTTAAGTTATGTGCACAATAAATATGTATTTTAAAAATATACAAAATTTTTTAGTAATACGTAAAGAAAGTATAATTAAAAAGTACTCTGAATTTTTTAAACTTATTAGTTCCTAATAAGTTTATAATTGTTAAGGCATAAATATTCTAAACAATTAAGAATTTATTTTGTAAAAAAAAATTTTCAAAATGTTTTGCATTGTTATAGTACATTCGCACTGTCTCATATAGACATTTGCTCATTTATATTAATGAGGAAACATTTACATTATAATGATCTCATTTATATAAAAGTACTTTGAATGGTAATACTGTGTTCAGACACACTTTAATTTCGCAAAAATCTTAATTTTGACTTTGTTTCAGTAAATTTAAGTTGTTTTTTCCATACAATATTAAGTTTAAAAGGTAAGAAGAAAATTAAGGAAGATGGCTTTAATTTCATTAAAACGAATGCAGAAATTAAGGGAAACTTGCGACTATCCGAAAGATGAATTTTAAGCAAAAGACAAGTTGATAATTTTTAACATTCGATTTTTAAATAAAAAAAATACGATTTCCTTAATTTGAGGCAGTATAAATTCCTTCCAAATTAACTTAATTTCATTTTAACGAAATTAAGGATATTTGGCTGTCCGAATATCAATCTTATTAGTGTCTATAATGAGCAAAACCGTCTAAATGAGACACTGTGAATGTGCTATTACCTTATTTTTAAGTCAGTTAAAAAGCATGGAATCTTTGTACGATTAATGAATTTTAGACTTACTAAGTAATAAGTAGTAGAAACATATTAGGTCTGTTCCACGAGCTACTCATAGTAAAATATGAGTAAAACAGAAGTAAAATTTACACAAAAATACTTGAAAATTTGCTTGTGTATACACAGTGTTTACTTAAAGTTACTATGAGTAGCTCGTGGAACAGACTTATTATATGTGGTATTTTATTCACAAGTTGACTTTATCTAAAAAAATTTTGTTAAGCAAAAAATATTTTGGTGTGGCAACTATTTAAGTAAATGTTAATAAAAACAAACAAAAAATTAAGTGGTGAATCAAATTAAAAAGTAAATTTCAAATTAATAGAGAGAGTCATTAAATTATAATATTTCGCTTGATAAATTAATTTAATACATTTAAAACAGAGAAGAATAAATGGATGAAAATACAATAAATTACTTTAATAACAGTGGAGGTAAAAAGAAATTTTTTAAAAATGTTTACATTATCTATTTAATTGTTTGGCAAATTCTTTCATAATTTTCAGATGGATTTTTGATGGAAGAATTCATGAGTGACGATTCGGAGTGTAATGAGATAACTTCAGCCACACATAATGTTGGTGTAGTGAAATTATCGTCTGCAAAAAAATACCGCCATAATAATCTGGATGATGCCGACGAGGAAAGCAATGAAACAGGTAACAGATTTATTAATTTACATTAAATTGTAAAATAAAGGAATTCTTTGTAGAATATCCTAGTTGTTCTAAGGAACGAAAACGTCGCATCGTGTGGTCAAAAAATGCGGAAACATTTTTGTTAGAATTGTGGGAGAAATATTTTGTTGAGTTACGTAGTGTGCGTAAAAATGCTCACATATATTCAAAAATTGCAGAACAATTAAAACAAAAAAGCGGTCATAAATTTTCTGGTCATGAAGTCAAGATAAAAATACAAAACGTGCAATCCAAATATCTGTAAGTGTTTAATCCTCGATGTGATCGTTCTACATTAATTGATTTTATTAATATTTTGCAGTGATGAAAGAAAAAAAATGGGACTGTCTGGTGGTACATCATCCACTTGGGTGCACTTTTCCAAGGTGCATTCAATTGTTGGAGATTATAAGTCTTTAAACGTAGTACCTTCAGTGAAAGAAGACGCAGGTAAATATGTTTTTATATATCTTCGTGGTATTTAGTTACAACATAATTATTTCTAGAAAGCAGTTATCAAGATACCAATCCATATAATTCAGATCACGAGTTTCAGTCACCGTCTTTTAGATCTGAACCCAGAAAGAAAAAAAAAATTACAGATAAACAGGAAGAACTCATAAGTGTAACCGATACAACTAATAGATTTCTAAAAGGAGAGGTAGTAATAAAAAATAAAAGAACTATAAACTCGAAAAACCAAAATGCACTATTAGAAGGTAAAATAAATTTTTTAAAATTACGAATTATAAACATTCATTTGTTTGGCTAATATAATAATTTTTATAATTTTTAGAGGAATACTTAATAGATGAATTCTTGAGTGAAAACTCAGAAAGCAGTGAGCCAACGGAGAGTGTCGACGAAGAGAGTAATGAAACAGGTTTGTTAATACAATGTAAGTTAATACAAAATAATACAAAGATTTCTGTTAACAGAATATCCAAGTTGCTCTAAAGAAAGAAAACGTCGCATCGTTTGGACAAAATATGCTGAAAGACTTTTATTGGAATTGTGGGACAAAAACGTTGCCGAATTGCGTAGTGAGCGTAAAAATTCTTATGTTTACAGAGAAATTGCAGACCAATTGATAACAAACGGACATAAATTTTCTGGTCATGAAGTCAAGACAAAAATACAAAATCTGCATACAAAGTACAAGTACGTGTTCAATTATTGCCAGTGATTATTAATAATTGATTGATGTTATTGATAAATTTATAGTGATGAAAAAAAGAAATTGGAATCATGTGATAGTACACCTTCCGCTTGGATGCATTATTCAAAGGTACATTCCATTTTAGAGCGACAAAACCTGACGCCATTAGTGAAAAAGAGTACAGGTATATATTTTAATTTTGTATTTTATTATAATAAACATAATTATTATATGTTATAACATAATTATTTTTTAAAGGCGAGAATCAGGATATCAGTCTGCAAAGCTCACATCATGGAGTTTCATCAGCGTCCATCAGAGCCGAATCTAGAAATAAAAAGAAGGTTAGAGATCAACAAGAGGAACTCATAAATGCGCTTAATAAAGCTAATAGCATTGCAGAAAAAGATTTAGTATTAAAAGAAAAAGACATTTTGAATTCGAGAAAACAAACTGAACTGATAGAGCAGCAAATCGATATTCTTCAGGGTATAGCTGCTTCCACTGAGCAATTTCAAGCAAATATTTTAAAATTGTTTAAAAAAAAATGAGAACCAACAGTTAGCATTTTTTTTTGTTAATATTATAAGTAACTAAGTTAATTAAATTGTAGAACTTTATTTTTAAGTTAAAATAAAACTGAATATTTGTATATAAAAACTATTAATATATACTAAATTTAAAATAAAACAATCTTAGAATGTTAAAATTCAGTTCTAATTTATTGTTAAAATTCAGTTCTAATTTTAATGTTATATTTAATTTAACTAGTACACTTACTTAAATGTACAGCTATGGAATTACGAATTCTTTCTGGTGTTTTTTTGAAGTCGTCGATTGTGGTTACATATTTCGGTTGAGGTTTGTTATATTTCGCTGCCTCTACTAGCCATTGACGGGTAATTTTACTATTGTGTGTATTTAAAAAGTTATGGAGAACACAACAACATTTTATAATGGTACTTATATTTGATGGATGGTTGTCCAAGCCTTTTCCAATTCTTGCAAAACGCGCTTTTACATGTATAAATGCATTATCAACAACTCGTCGAGCCTTGTACAACGTGTTGTTAAATGTTTTTTGCTCTTCGCTTGTTGCTGTTTCAAAAGGATATGGTTTCATCAACGTCTCCGAAAAAGGAAATGCAGAATCTCCAATAAGCATAACAGGGACCACAGTTTTTCCAATTTTTCTAGCGTTTTTTTTAAATAATAATGTTGATGACACAACATTTTTAAGCTCTGATGTCTCATAAATTTGAGAATCATTGTGTCGGCCAGGACTCCCCACATTAACATATAAAAATCTGCACCTATAAACATTACAAGTGTAAAATTTGTATGTTTTTTTTATCAAGTTTAACTGATTTTACCTATAATCCACAAGGGCAAATAGCACAACTGAATTCCAACCTTCAGAGTTATGGTAGTCAAAAGCTTCTCCTGTCTTTGGCTTCATCTCAATGTGACAGCCATCTACAAAAAATTCATTAATAAAATATATTTCATAAATTTATTTTTACTTTACCAACCGCTCCAAAGCACTGAGGAAAACCAATAGTATCAAAACCTTTTACACATTCCTCCAGTTTTTCTTGATTCAAAAAATTATCTGGAAGATATTCTGGAGCTAGGGCTTGCCATACTCCTTTGCAAAATTCATTCAGAATTAAACACACAGTCGGTTTGGAGACCCCAAATAATGCGCCTACTTTCCGATATTCTGTTGAAGAGCCTAGAACGTACAGGGCGATTGCAATACGTTTTTCCAATGGAATAGTTTCACGAAATGTTGTGTTCATTTTTCTTAAATTTGGTAGCATTTCCACAAGTTTTTTGAAGCAATTACGGTCTGTTCTAAAGCTTTCTTTAAACAGTTTATCACTGAAGTACGGCACATTCTGTTCCCAAAATCGACCATAACGTTTCTGGAATTATACGTTTACTTTATTAATTTTTATATTAAAAAAACTGGTACTTACTAACGTCCAAATTTTTTTTGGCCTTTGTATATTTTGCGTATTCAGAATTGAGTAAACCATAGCAATTTTATTACGTAGGGTAGACTTGCAGTAATTTCGCCGTTTTTTTTCCATAATAATACATTTATTTGCTTGTATAATTTGTTGCAACATTACCAGCGTGTGATTATTTTGGTAAACACACATACCAAGTAATTTACTTATATCCATTTTAAAAAATCCTAAATCTATTCAAATTCAATTTTCCAATTTTAGCTATTTATTTTTGTTTTCTGTTTTTATTTCGTGTTCGCTGGTTCAGTCTCTGTAGTGTAAACAATTAATTATCGATCAGTATTATCGATATGTTACTATAATCAAACTGATGCAAGTGTAACAAATTTGACATCACATGTAATTGTTTGTTACAAATAGATAAAATTGTACTCGAAAAAAAGTACTTATGTGTGAATATATTTTAAGTTATATTTAAAGCAAATCTATCAAGTAAAGTTAAGTTTATGTGAAAACTCGTATGCAAGCTCCGTAAGCTCAAAATCGATGCTTAAATATTCCAATTAAACGATTTAGTCATTAAATAGAAAATTAATGGTATATAAGTTATAGAGCAGTGATGTTCAGTTCCTGTCCAGTTCAATGATGTGGATGATGACCACTATTAAACAACCAAAAGTTTCTATAATACTCTTACTATATAAACATTACTACTGCGTTTTTCTTATATCACAAAAGCTATAACCATGAGCTACATCAACGTCAATAGACTTTTTTTTAGTCTACGCTTGTGACAAATAAGCAGACCTACACAAAACATCACAAATAAATTGTACCAACAAATCTCTACGTTGAATAAGCAATCAGAATTAGCCCAGTATCAGGTAATACAGGGCTAACATCACAAACTTTGCTGGTTGAAGTTGACTTTGAGAGCAAAATCAGTTTCCAAAGCTGACTGTGTCATATAAAAATAGGCACAACAAAGATTGTGTCTATTATGAAGCATCTTATTTTGCTATACAGATTCGCTGCTGAGGAATGCAATAATAATATGATCCATAATTTTGAACAATATTAATATATTCATCCGTAAACAAAAACAGATTATTTTTCAAACAGTATACTGAGGAGTATCAATGAGGAGTCACAATGAAAACCCGAAACATTAATGTAAACGTTTGAAGTTTGGGAATCAACTTTAGCAAAGTTCGTAATGTAAATATGATATAACACTTGAGATTAATTTATAACACCCGAGATTAATTTATAACACTGTAGAAATTTTGTCAGAGTAGTAAGATCACACTAATATGACGTTTACATTGGCCGAAAATGGCTCATTTTGGTCAAAAATCGAAAATGAGTAGCGAATGGCTCATTCTTGCATATAAAATTTCAAGCGCGAAAATGAGCAATTTTCTCACATTCTGTATGAAAGACGTTCGAATGCATTCCACATATGTTCCAAATGCAAGGGAATCCATTGAACATACCCTAAATAAAAGCTTTTCATGGCATTTTCACAGTTTGAGAAAGCTGTTTTTGACATATTTACAAAAAAAGGTAAACAAATGTTTGGGGGTTGCATTTTCTTGAAAACGATGCACCTCTTTTTAGAACTTCTACTTCCCAAAAGGTAATTAATCGAAGTTAAAAATATGTTTTAAGTTTATATTGTAAAGTTTGAAAGCATATTTAATCTTCATGCAATATTTTTTTGGCACAGGCCAAAATCAAATCAACAAGCAAGTTGAAAAATCAGCTGTTTGAAATGAGAACAAACGAATTACAACGAATGTAAACACTTTCAAATGGCTCATTCAAAATGAGCCATTTTCGGCCAATGTAAACGCCATATTATATTGATAGCTGTTTTATATGATTTGACAGATAAAAAATTGTGATTTGTTCGCACATTAGCCCAATTTGTTTGTTTATATATTTGGCTTTAGTTTTGAAAATAGGTATAAAAGCAAAATAATAGCACATTTGGGTGTAAATGAAGATATATAGGATATGGATTTGTAATCCAACATATCAGTGCTGACATGTCCACTTCCCTTTTCAATTTTACCTTTTCTACTTATTTTTAAATAAAATACTGAAAATTATTATTTATTTTTATGTTAAATTATAAATTATTTTTTTTTTATTAAAACTAATAATAACTTTTCTAATAAATAACCTCAAAATTAAATTTAAAAATAAAAATTAAAAAGTAAAAAGAACGATAATAAATAAAAAAAAAATATAAGTAATATAAAAAATTAAAATAAAATACGTTAAAATAGAATTAATATTTACATAAAATTTTTTAAGAATATTATTATCTCATTATGTGGAATAATGAGTTCGCATTTGTAGAGATTTTTGTACACTCTTTGCTTTATGGTACCTGTTTTTGGCAGCACGAAATGCATGTCTGATTTCAGAGTCGATTACATTTTCGGACTTACCATCTGTCTTTAAAGCATCTGTAAATATAAAAGTTTTTTGCATACAAAATTTCAAGCGCAACTGAGATCTATTGGATCTTATTCTATATAAATGAGTTCTAAATATGTTCCAAATGCAAATGAATACATTGAACATACCCAATATAAAAGTTTTTCATGGCATTTTACCAGTTTGACAAAGCTGTTTTTGACATATTTACAAAAAAAAGGTAAACAAACGCTTGGTAGTTGCATTTCTTCCCACTTCTACTTCCCAAAAATAAATTAATCGAAGCTAGAAATAAGTTTTTAGTTTATATTGTGTGGTTTGAAGGTATATTTAACCTTCATCTAAAATTTTTTTGGCACAGATCAAAAATCAAATCAACAGGCAAGTTAAAAAATCAGCAGTATGAAATGAGAACAAATGAATTACAACGAATGTGAACACTCTCAAATGACTCATTCATTTGAAATGATCCATTTGAGACCAGTGTAAATGCCATATTAGTTAGATATGTCACCAAATAATTCAGTTAAAACAAAATTTATTTAAAAAAATGCATAGTAGCAAGTTTTTCAATGCATTGTATTTTTAAAATTAAATGTCAATTTTATACGCCTTTTTTAAATTAGTATATTAGAACATTTTTCTATTTGCTTGCTTATTTACAGTTTCTTATAATTGAGCTTTACTGCCACACTGTAAAAAAAGCGGCACGTGATCGGTTTTCGCTTGTGTCTGTTATATTTTCGTATTTCATTCTAAAATTTTGTTTATATTTTTTAATTGCAATTAAGTGCTAATTTAAAATATTAAAATTTTCATAATTAGAATTTCTTTTACATATAAATATTAATTAATAAACTAAACCATGTTCGGACTACTAAAGGAATTGTTGCCTCGACGTATATCCGACATACTTTGTCTTTTTGTTATTGTACTTTTCCTGCCAATTGTGTTCTTGTTTGAAATGGGTGTTGTTTTGCCTGCTGTACACATGAAAGGATCATTCCTGCATAATATCACATTTATGTTAGCAATGTTTATTATGTCCAATCTCAAAGGAAATATGTTGGCTTGCGCGATGACTGATACGAGTGTTGATCGTAAGTAATGTTTGTTATTTAATCAATAACAGTAGCATGTGATGAATCGGGTGATTAATCAATACCTTTTGTATAGATAAAAAAGTGATGCCACCGGAAAACGCAGTTACAGAGGCTGGTTGGCACAATTGTGATAAATGTAACAACATATCACCACCACGTTCTTGGCATTGTGATATATGCAAATGCTGTATTTTAAAACGAGACCACCATTGTCCATTCACGAGCTGTTGTGTAGGTCACAAAAATCAACGCTATTTCTTAATGTTTGTGTGCTACTTGTTTCTTGGTTCACTATACGCGTTTGCTTATAACACATACTATATATGGGTACTGAAAGGA